TTATGCCTCTAGTGCCAGCAGCGTGTCTGGAGTGTATTTTTTGGCTGKGACAGACCTTTCTTTGTTTCGTGAGTGTTTTGCTTGCTTGTGATGGGGTGTGAACTGAAAGTCTGTGGAGTTTTCCATCTGGCATGGGTGAGTGATAGTTTGCTTCAATTTTCATCACAGGTACCTTGAGGGCAGTGGTTGGTGCCCACCTCAGGGTATCAGTTGTCAGGCAGTCGTTGATGCTTAACCACAGCCGGGGTGAAGGTGGATTATTACTTACAGTGTAATCAGTTAGGGGATTTTGCAAACTGTCGAGGGTTCATCCTCCTGATTAGAAGGTGAAACTCAGACGAAACAGTTTGTCACAGCCCCTCGTTTGTTGCCCTCTTCAACCTCTCAGTGGTTGGGGTCGTCACTACACAGCCATGCTGTGCCTTTAGTGCCAGCGGCGGGTCAGGAGCTAGGCTACCAGAGTGGCCCGGGGTCACTTGCCCGGCCAGGCCAAAAACATAAAGGCAGTTCTATTTATATATATTTTTTAATTATATTTTTTATTCTGAATTGGATGAAGAATTTCGATGTGACCCTGAGGCAAAAGTTGTTCAGTTTATTGAACTTTATTCTGCTGCATAACATAGTTTTTTTTTCGGTTTTTTTTTTTTTTTTTTTTTTTTTTTTTTTTTTTCCTTGCACGGGCTGGCCACACGGGACCCGGGCGGCCCGGCTGGTAGCCTAGGTCAGGAGTGTATTTTTTGGTTGTGACAGACCTTTCTTTGTTCGTGGGTGTTTTCCTTGCTTGTGATGGGATGTGAACCGACAGTCTGCAAATTTTTCCATCTAGTGTGGGTGAGTGATAGTCTGCTTTGATTTTCGTCACAGGTACCATGAGGGCAGTGGTTGGTGCCCACCTGTTACATACTCCAATGAGTATCGGCAGAACCAAGGATCAACCAATGTAGGATGAGCATATATGCAACGGAAGTCTGATAAACGGACCGACTCACATAGCATCACTCCACACACATACAATCGTGAGGTGGTGGGGTCTGAGCCATACATAGAAGATGCTCAGCCCCGTACACGCATACACAGATGAATGGGGGAGGAGAGACAAAGAGGTGGGGGGGAAGGTAGACAGCACCGATAGTCACCGAAATAGAATCTGATAGGTCACCGATATGGTAGTCCAAAATGTCATCCAACAAGATCAAAACGTCGAGGACCATAGGTCACCAATGTCGGGGATACAGAGTCCAAATGTAACCGGTGTCTGAACTGTGATGTCGCCAAGTATCAACCCCAACGATCTCCAAGTCTCCAATCCGGTAAGTACCACAGTCTCATACCACCGAAGTCCAACACTGATCTCGGTCCAACTAGTATAAGTCTCCAATCTGAAGAAGAAGAAGAAGAAGAAGAAGAAGAAGAAGAAGAAGAAGAAGAAGAAGAAGAAGAAGAAGAAGAAGAAGGAGCCGAGGAGGAGAGAGAGAGAGAGGGGACTGGCGATGGGAGGGAGGAGAGAAGCCTCCAACTCCCAATACCTCAGGCGGCTATGGCCGCCGGTAACCCAGTCGCCGCTGCTGCTGCTCGCTYGCTACTGCTGCGCTAACGCTGCGCTGCGCTGCTCCTCGCTGCTCCTGCGCTAAAGATAGCGCCAGCGCTGATTAGCGCTGTACCATACCGTACCGGTAGAATGCCGGTAGGTCGATCCTGGACTGAGGCTGGACCGGTTCTATATACCGGTGGGGCAGAGGCCGGCCTCAATGCTGCGAGGCCTGGCCGTGCCCTGAACCGTCCAGATGGACGGTTCAGCCCCAACCGGCGGGCGGCAGCCTCAAGAGCGCCGCCAGGCCCAAACGGTAATGTCGTTTGGGCCTGCCCGTCGGGTCTGGTCCAAGGTGAGGCCTTTATGGCCTGTAGTACCCCAAGGTCGGGCCTTTAGGCCCTGATGTGTCCCTCTAGCCCTAAGTCGGGTCCGGTAGGACCCGTGTGGCGTCGAAGATGTAACACCACCTCAGGGTATCAGTTGTAGGGCAGCCGTGGATGCTTAACCACAGCCGGGGTTAAGGTGGATTATCACTTACAGTGTAATCAATTAGGGGATTCTGCAGACTGTTGAGGGTTAAGCCTCGCGAGACTCCGACGAAAACGTTAGTCACAGCCCCTCGTTTGTTGTCCTCTTCTTCCTCTCTGCCTACGGTTTTACCGCGCAGCTCTGTTTGACGATATATACCATGACTTCGCTGGCACCCTACTGCGGTTTTCTCCGGTCCGGTCGAGCGGCAGTGGCCGGGGCCGTCACTATGCGGCCATGTTGTGCCTCTAGTGCAAGCGGCCTGTCTGAAGTGTATTTTTTGGTTGTGACAGACCTTTCTTTGTTTCGTGGGTGTTTTGCTTGCTTGTGATGGGGTGTGAACCGACAGTCTGTAGAGTTTTCAATCCGGTGTGGGCGAGCGAGTCTGCTTTGATTTTCGTCACAGATACCTTGAGGGCAGTGGCTGGTGCCCACCTCAGAATATCAGTTGTTGGGCTGTAGTTAATGCTTAACCACGGCCGGGGTAAAGGTGGATTGTCACTCACAATGTAATCAGTTAACGCTGAAGCAACCATGCATTTTGTTTTTTTTTTTTTGGGACCCTGCTCCGATCTATTCGTGGCGAGCAACACGTGCTGGGAACCGGGCCTAGCGTCCCTTATGAAAATACACAGAACACATTGAGATACCGGGGTTCATTACCTGGCTTCCGCTAAGACAACTTCTTAAAAAAAAAAAAAAAAAAAGCAGAAACCGACCTCGGGACCCAGAAAGATTAAGGAGGATTCGTGGAACAATGCAAGGAGTGAGCCTTCGCGGGGCCCTTATGAGACATACATGTGTTCTGGGCGGCCGCCCCTAGCAAGCCTGTGCCCGCCCTAAGTGAAGCCGGGCCTGAATATCCACGTGAGGCCTGTTTTAGATAATTTTCCATATGTGGGTACTCAGACACTCGCAGCACGCCAGTTGGTTACAAAGCAATGTGAGCCTCCAGGCTCGTCCAGAAGCAAAAGGGCTGCGCTGTACACAGTTGAGCCCAGGGCTGAGGTGGTTGCGCCCTGGGCACACGCTGTGTGAGGCCGACACATCACGGACTGGATACGGGCCAATGAGGAAGCAGCATTGTCGTCACACTTGTTGCAAGCCAATGAGAATGCTGCAAACACTTGGAGACTGGATGGCTGCCTGGAAGTGCATAACTGCACGAGGCCCAGCTCAGTATCTGAAATTGGACCTGGGCGCAGACCCTTGGGGCCAGCGGCAAGCTCCTGGGCCCCCCACACGCCTGGTCAGGCCAGCCAGCAGCAGACAGTTTCCACATAGGAAAGTGTGTGCCCCCTGGGGAGGCATTCTGGCGTGAGCAGGCATTGCGGCCATGCTGCTGCTTTGCCGTGCGACGCTGCACTACGAAGACAGGCAGCGGCGCACGCGGGCGCTAAGATGCGGGAGGGCACTGCGATGGAAGTGGGCGCACAGCGGCCATAGCCGGGCCGAGCGTGCGGGTGCTGGTGCTGGTGATGGCAGTCTTCGGGTAGGAGGCGCATGCAGAGCAGATCCGATGTGTGATGAGGGGAGGAGAGAGAACGTACCTGGTGTATACTGGAGGTCGGCATTGGTGTTGACGTCACATACAGTGGTCTTCGACTTCGATGTGATCCAGTTGCAAGAACGTAGATAGAGTAGGCTGGGACCCCGGCCTCAATTTTCTTATTGGTGATATCAGCCTTGGGCACTGGGCCCTTTAAACCACTAGTACCTTTGCCGCGTGGGAAAATAGTGGGCCTCGGGTGGGCCTCCGACCTTTTCGGATGGCCGAAACGAAACGACCGCCCTGATCAGATTTATCAATGGCAGCCGTCGTCGGGCCCGGCCTACGAATTTTCAGGAGTTTGGGAAAACTGCCGGTTTTCCCTAATTTCCCAACACTGGGCGGGGTACTAGTGGTTAAAAAAAAAAAAAAAAAAAAAAAAAAAAGGCTGGGCCCTGGGTGCCAGATAGTACGAGCGACATTGGATACAGTGTTGGTGTGACCACAGAGCGTCTGCATTGACACTCAAGTTCATTGTATCGGGCTCTTATTTGGATGCAATCTTGGTGCATTGTGCTCTCTGCTTGGTACTGGACTACTCCGTGGATTTGCAAATTGGTTTTATCGCTCTCGCTCATATTGCTTGCAACAACTTCACACCTCAAATAAAAAATACTAGAATTCCAAGCAACGCTAAAAGCCAGAACCAACCATGCCTGTTATGTTCCCAACCACTCATCCCGCACTCCCCTCTTGTTGAAGAAGACGGGGACAGGAACCAACCTCTTCAACCGTGGGGGTAGACTAGCTCCTGTCTCTTATACACATCTAGATGTGTATAAGAGACAGGGATAGGACTTCTCCTTTTCAAAAAAAAAAAAAAGAAAAAAAAAGAAAAAAAAAAGGATAGGACTCCCTCACTTACCAACAGCCCACATTCGCCGACCAAATAAAGAAACCTCACCGCACGACCCCTGAAAGTCACCCCCTTCCACACAGAGGAAATTCCGAAGGCACTGCCAGAGTTCAATTTGCTACTTTTTCCAGGATAATCGAAACCAAAGAAACCAACCACCCAGTGACACCCAGAACCATACTATTTATAGCTCTGCACAGCAGAATAGACGGCCTGTAGTCTATTCTCCAGCATGGATCTGGCCTTAAAGCACCACTACATGGGCCCAGCCAAGTTGAGAGTCCAATTGAGCCTCTCCTAAAATTCCGGAGGCTCGCGCGCCGTCGATCAAATAAATCGACACCGGGTGACCTCCAGAAGGGGCCCGCGGCCGATGGCTGGCATGTACTCGTGGTTTAAAGCACCAGTACACCACACATCGGCCCGCGGGTGTCAGCATGAAACCTGCACCACTTCCGAGGCCGTCGATTTATTTTTTCAACAGCGCCTCCGATTTTCGACAAAAACTTTCTGCAAGGCTGGGGCGGAGTACTAGCGGTTTAAGATGGGCCAGAACATGCTATTTATAGCTCCATAGAATAGCATAGCATACTACAGCACTGCAGTATCTTTTCTATTTTTGGTTCAATACAACAGCACAGCCTTGCCAACCAACTACAGGCCCTGGGATATCCACATGGAAAAAACACGCCAGGTGAACCACAGGCCCACAGGCCCACAGGGACTGGATCAACACTCCTATGCCTATCTCTGGTACCCATCTTACATAATCGGATGTCTGTCGTCAGCTGACACTGACGAGGCAGCCTAACAACGGCCAGATTCAACGTACAGCAACAGGCAGAGGCACACAACCGGCAGATTCAATGTACAGCAATAGACAGAGGCCCCTCGCAACCACCTGGCAGAGCCCGCATTTGTTTCTTTCTCCCTTTCCCATACTTCCTATCTATATTCCTCACCCTTTTCTCTCTCTCTTTTTTTTTTTTTTTTTTTTTTTTTTTAAACCCCCCCGCCAGTGTTAGTGCTGCTTCTCTACGCCCGAGTTGTCGATAAACTGTGTTATCTCGACACGCCCAGCAGCCGCAGTAAGAAGGCGGGGCGCAAGTCCAAACAGTGCATGCAACTTCAATTGCATCCGCTACCATTCCATTTTTTCCGAAACGGAAAGGTTCAGCCAACCAATGAAACACAGACCAGAATACACACACACACACACACACACCAAGAAAGAAAAGACAAGAACAAAGCGCATCGGAATCCCTACCATCATGTGAACATGATGACTGCACAACCATTTCGTACATCCATCCCCTTGAGCCCATGAAGTTTGCGCGAACGAGAAACCGCTTTGCACAACCATCCCGCCGCTGCCCATTTCGAACAACACATCGAAAAACCGCGATGTTCGTTTCCATCACCTGAGCATGATGACTGCACACTTAGTCTACCATTTTGCACATCAATGGCCTTGCCTGTGATTCAGACGTTTGCGTAAACGCATAATGCATAACGAATAAACCTTTTCACACAAGCATCCCGCGGAACCCATTTTGAAGAACGAGTACCGAAACCCCTCGATGTTCGTTTCCCACATGTGAGCACGACAAATCCATTACCATTCCAGTGATTCCACACATCCATCGCCTGGTGTGCACACCCATAACCGTTTCGGTCCGTTTGGCAGAACTGTCCCACAGAGCCCATTTCGAAGAAGAAGCGAGTACGGAAATGACCAGTGAAATCCCTTGATGGTCGTTTCTCTCATCTGAGCACGATGAATCCATTGACATTTCACACATCCATCGCCTTGCTGGTAAACCCATAACCGTTGTCGACCGGTAGAAGGGCTCTGCCGGCCTCCAACACAAACCCTATGTCTCGCGCCGCGTCTGTCACCCACGGGAGGGTTGGTTGGGGCTCCTGTAACCTGCACAAACCACGTCAGTACTCATCCAAGAAACCTTGATGCCCGCCCTCGTAAAGGAAGTAAAGGGCGGCGTAGGGCTGGAGCCGCCCGACACCGTGTCGCAAAGCCCATCTCGAAGAAAGAAAGAGTCCCGAGAACCCTTGATGTTTGTATTGATCATCTGAAGTGTGACAAATCCATAAACATTATGCACATCCATCGTCTTGCCTGTAATAAACCCATAACCGTTTTGCACAAATATCCCGCAGAGCCCAAAGGGTATCAAAATCCTCGATGTTCGTATCGATCAATGGAGGATGACGAATGCGTTGCCATTCGCCGTTTCCCAGAACCGTCCAACAGAACTGGAGCCCATTTCAAAGAAAGCGAATCGAAAACCACCCTTGAATCGATCATCTGAGCATGCCGAATCCATTACCATTCCACACATCCATCGCCTTAACTGTAAGCCCATAACCGTTTTGCACAACCGTCCCGCTGCCCATTTTGAAGAAAAAGCACATCGAATTCCATCCATCAACTAACCACGGCGACTCCTTCACCATTTTGCGCACAACCGTCACACTGCCCATAAACCAATACACAATTTGCAACAACCATTGCAGCGCTTGCTATTTCACAGAAAGGGCATCGTGATCCCTTCCATTATCTATGGATGATGAAGTCGAATAACCCCATTACCATTTTGCAAACCCATGGCCTGTTAAAGTCCGGCCGTATAAACCCCAAAACGCCACAGCTACCGTACTCACCCACCGCCCTGTGGTGGTATCATCGTATGAACCCATGCCCAGGCAACCGTTAGGTTGGAAATGGGACACGGGACCCGGAGACACAGGACATGGGACCCGGGACATGGGACCCGGGACAAAAAGTGCTGGTCAAACAAAGTGGCTACAATGGACAGTCCCGTGTCCCATGTCCCAGGCTCCGCGTAAGATGAAAAACAGCTACCATCATCACCATCACTTCAATGGCAGGAATACCTCCATTAGACCCAAGGATACCCATGTTCCAATGTCCCAGGCTCCCGTGTCCCAGCCTCCCATTTCCCAGGCCCAAAGGATACCCATCGATACCCCTTTTGGAGGCCAAATAGCTCCTGGGCAAATAGCTCCTCCATTTTCTACGGTACGAGCCACCACACTTGAATGAAACAAAGCCCCGAAAAAAGCTACAAAAAGAATTGCTTCTGAGTAACTGTTCTGAAAACTTACTGATACGATGAACAAAATCATACCATCAAATGGCTCCCGGTTGTGGAATGGATGACTTGGGAAGATAGGCTCAGAACTGTGATGTTCTGCTTAACCAGCAGCAGAAATAGGGGGCTAGAAAAGGTAGGCTCTGAAGTGGTTTTGTGGTTGACGGCAGCCCAAAAAATTTTCAGCCTGGCGGGATCAAACTTCCAACCAGTGGCCACACTTGCTAGAGAATGTTCCAGAAGCCTGATCCACACGCAAAGCCTTGGCAACACCCACATAAACCATGACGGCGTCGACACCTACAAGAAGAAGAGGGATCCAAACAGGTCCAGAAACCGAAAAGAAATGCAGGGCCTGCTCATTCACTATGCAATGTAAGAAGCTACTCCCTGTCCCTTCTTCCTCATCTTATTATCCACACGTTAAAGCCAACTCTCTCTCTCTCTCTCTCTCTCTCTCTCTC